CCCTGGCCTCCCTGGCCTCCCCTGGCCTCCCTGGCCTCCCAGGTGGCCCTGGCCTCCCTGGCCTCCCCAGGCCTCCCCTCCAAAAAGGGCTTCGGATGTATTTCCGCCAGCGACTTCGGGCCTCCCTGACTTCAAGCTTCTGGCCTCCACGCTTCGCCTTTCCCTCGCCGCTCCCTCGTGCAAGAGCCAGGGCACGCGTGCCACTCGCTTCCTCGAGGCAGAGGGGTGTTGTACTTGTCCGAAGGCTCCCGCAAGAGGGTGCCCCTCACCAATGGCTTTTGTCCGCCACCGTAGACCGAGGACCAAGAAACTAACTACCGCTTCGATGAGTAATGGTGGCGGTGTGCTATTCGATGGTAGCTTAATTTGATATTCTTGTTGAAGAGACCTTACGGCCAGTTTCGCCGGCCCTGAAGGGGGGTCCGGAGGAAGGCCCCAGGAAAGTTGCAGACTTTGGAGGCTTGTCGTGGGGGTCTCTTGTGAGGCCTGTTAGATGTGTTTCTGAGGTCTCTTGGGGCCTCTTGGGGGCGCAGTGGAGGCCTCAGAGGGGTTCTTCGGGGTCTTCTGGGGGCCTGGCGGTCTAGGAACGATCATTACAGTTCGTGCTCTCCTCTGGAACCCCTCTTGGGAGCCTTTTGAAAGTCTCCTCGGCCCTCTTGGGCGGCTTCTTGGGCCGTCTTGGGACCCTCTTGGGCTGTTTATGGGCATTCTGGGGGACTCATAGGGTTGTCTTGAGGCAGACTTGGGGGCCTTTTGAACCGTCCAGGGCGGTCGGAAGCCCGCAAAAGAGAGAACGCGAGAATTCATGAAACACCGATTGAACATACAATGTTTTTGCCTTGGTGGCTCTCTTGGGGTTTCTCTAGGGGATGTCTTGGGCAGGCATTTGGCATCTTGGGCCGCGTTGGAGTGTTCTTTTGGACCGTTTCCGGCCCCTCTTGGACCGTCGTGGACGTTTGCAGAAGCAGAACCAAATCTGCCGGAAGATGACCCGAAAGCGGAGAGGGAGAGACCGTTTTCTGTCCTGGGGCAGGACCGCCCCCCGGGGCACCTCTGGGACCTCCCCCAAAGGGGCCCCCTGGGACCTCCCTAGGGGCCCTCCCCCCGGGACTGCACGGCCCCCCCGCCCGGGTCGCGGGAAGGGATCACAGGAAAGGGGCTTCACTTCGACTCGCTTACGACCTCGATTGCGACCTGGCTCGATCCACCTTGGTCAGCGAGCTCGGAGAGCCAAAGGTGGCCGCCAGAGAAGGGGTGAATCTAGGCCTCCTAGATGGGGTCGGAGTAGATGGGGTCGGAGGATCGCGCCGCATCGCCGATGCATCGCCAATGCGGCTCGATGTAGGGCCAGATTTGCTTCACGTCGACGGCGCCAATGTCGCCGGCGTCGACGATGCATCGCCGGGACATTGCCGATACAGCGCCGATGCATCGCCGATGTATCGGCGATGCGGCGCGATCCTCCGACCCCATCCGGGAAGCCTCTAATGAAAGGTTTCTCCCGTGACCGCCCTATGATGACCAGCCCAGAACGCCACCTCACACACGCGGACAGGGTCGGCGGATTTGGCAACAGAGCTTATAGATGCTGTGCCGACATTGCGCCACCGCGGCAGCGGCGACGAGGGTCCCAGGTCACCGCAGATCTTCCGCTGCTTTGGCGTCAGCCGCCCACCAGTGCACCATTTCTGTCAAGGGTGATCAGGCTTTACCTCTTCTTGCTATTGTAGTTGGCCATTTTTTCGAATGGTTTCGGCTTCGCATGACGAATGGCAAGGTACAGTTTTTATTGTCCACCCCAACTCCTAAGATCCCAGCGCTTCTTTTTCGTACCGTGTGGATTTCGCCCGCTCAGCGGAGCGGAAGCTGAGGTGCGCATGCCCGCCCGCGAGGTCCATCAGTCCTCATACTCCTGGTCCCCACTTTATCCTTCTTTTTCCTCTTCATTTTCTTCCCTCCTTTTATCATCCTTCTCCCCCGCCTCCCTCCCGCACGGGCCCCTCTACCCGACTCTATCTTGCAGACTCTGTTGCAGGAAGCCGCTCCTGATCCGTGCAGGACCAGGGAGTGGAGGATCGGAGCCTATTATGCCTGCTGTCACTACTCCTCCCCGCCTTCTAATGTGCCCGCTTTGATGCTCCCCCTACTACTTTCTTCTTCTCCTCATCATCCCCCTCTTCTCCTCCTCTTCTTCTTCTTCTTCTTCGTCTTCGTCGTCGTCGTCGTCGTCTCCGTGGTCGTTCTCCTCTCCCTGCTCCTACTGCTGCTGCTCCTCCGTCTCCTCCTCCTCCTCCTCCTCCTCCTCCTCCTCCTCCTCCTCTTCCTCCTCTTCCTCCTCCTCCTCCTCCTCCTCTCTCCCTCTCTCTATCTCTCCCTCTTTATCCTTACTAAATGTCTGGAACGGTCCCTGCGGGGCAATTTGATCACTGTTACAATTTGGTATGTTATGATGTCTGTTGCTTTCCGTCTCGCGTCCTCCCCCAACCTCCTCCCTGCTTCTTTCGTTCCACCTGCTTCGTCCTCTTGCTATGCTATTTGTGCTTTGGTGTCCCTTGTCCTCTTCCCTCTCCTCCTCCTTGTCCTCGTAGTCTTCCGCATGCCCCTGCTCTTGCTGTGGATTCCTAGATCCTTCTCCTTGGCCTCCTCCCTCCTCCTCCCTCCTCCCTCCTCCCTCCTCCCTCCTCCCTCCTCCCTCCTCCGTCCACCTCCTCCTCCTGCTGCTCCTCTCCTGTGCTCCTCTCCCTTCCTTCCTCGGTCTCATTTCCGAGCGCCTCCGAGCGCCACGGTTCTCGAGCGCCCCCGAGCACTCCGCTCCGCTCCCCGCTCCGCTCCCCGCGCCCCTATGCTCCGCAGGGCGCCGCGCGGTGGCGGGCTGGGCGGCTGGTTGGGCTGCCTGGCGGGTAAGCGGGCGGGCTGGTTGGGCTGCTCGGGCCGGCTGGCGTGCTGGCTGAGGCGGTAGGTTTCGACCGTGTTCGGGCCCCCGACCGTGCTGGGGGCGCCCGCCTGGGAGGCGGGTCCCGCACGATACGGTGCGGTTTGCCCCTCCCCCCCCCCCCTCCCCCCTCCCCCCACACCCCCCACCCCCTTCCCCCCCAACCGTGTTCGAGGCGCCTGCCCGGGAGGCCAGTCTCCCACGGTACGATTTGGCCACCCCTGACCGTTTTCGGAGGCCAGTTCATCCTGGCTGCCAGCTAGGTGCCTGGAGGGCGGTTCACAGCCATATTCGCTTGTAAGAACTACTCTTCCCCCCCCCGTGGTTGTGACGGAGGACAGGCGGCGGGGGTAGGCGGGTTGGTGTGGTAGCGGGTTGGGCTGGCAGGGCTGCTTGGCGGTCTGTGACTTGGGTGGTTGGGCTGGTTGGTGAGCTGGCTGGTGTGTTGGCTAGGGGCTAGGGGCTAGGGCAATTTGTTTCGATCATACTACTCTTCCTTCTCCCCTGACTCTATGCGGTATTTGTCCTGCCCTCTCCGCTCCTGTTTGCACGTGCACACAGGATGTCAAGAGCTGGCCTGATATACGTGTATATGGTATAGGTATATAAAACCAGTTACTTACAGTCCTTCGCAATGGTGCTGCTGCTGCAGCGTGGGCCTCATTTGAGGATCGGTTCTTTGCTCCCGTCGTTCAGATTCGCACTCTCGCCTAAGCGCGTGCCACTTTTCAGCATCCGAGTCCTCCCGCATCTTTGTCGCCCCCCTCCTTTCTCCTTCCCTGCCTTCCCCCTGGTCCTCCTGTTCTTCCTGCTTCTTCCTCACCAGCTCCTGCTGCTGCTTTTCGTCCTCGTCCTCCTCTTTAATCATCCTCCTCCGTTTCCTCCGCTCATCCTCCTGCTCATCCGCCATTCACCTTCTGCTTGCGCACAAAGCGTTTGGTCTTGTTCGGAGTTCCAGGCCCGCCATGACACGCGTCTGCGGATAAAGATCAAATCAGCGCAATGGGCGGGGATGGGCGGGAGGGTCGTGGTGTCAGATATGGCGCGAGCGCGCTTCGCTTGCCAGCTCTCCCTCTCCCTCCTCTCCCTCTTTCCCTCCTCCTCTTCCTCCTGTGTCGTTTCTGGGGCGGCTTGCCGCCCAGGCGAGAGGTGGGTGCCCGGGGTCGGTGGGTGCCCAGGGTCGGTGGGTGCCCAGGGTCGGTCGGTGAAGGCCAGCCTCCTCGCAGCCGTAAATCTGGGCGCTTGCGGCACACGCCTTGCCCCTCACAGCTCCCTGCGCCTTCGGGAACGGGCGCTGCGCGGTCGGGTCGGGGTCGTCGCCATGGGGCTGCGCGCCGGACTGCTGCCGTTGTGTCCTGGCCGCTGTCGCCATGCGGCTGCGCGGAGCGTTGCGCGGTGGCTTGCGTGGTAGGTTGTGCGGTGCGCGGCTGGTTGCGCGGTTGGTCGCACAGCGTTCCACATACGTAGGGTTCCGCAGGCAGGGCTCCACGCGCAGGGTTCCCCGCAAAGCGTTCCGCACAAGCAGGGTTCCACACGCAAAGGGTTCAACGCGCACAGTCTTCCACACAGAAAGTTCCGCACACAGGGGGGCTCCACGCACACATTGTCATACGAATCACACGCTCGATGTCCACGCGCTCGCATTATCACAGATGTAGTTCTCAATCGGGACAGGTGTGTGAGATTTGTTTGTTGATTTTTTTTACGGTCTGGTGGTAAGCCTGATTATCCCCCCCCTGGATCATTTGACCTTGTCGGTTGTGCAGGTCCGAAGGGGGTACGCAGAATTGGTGCGTACGGGCGTATGTAGGGCGGACCAAAGTGAAAAGGTCAGGTCATCGACGGCCACCCCCCCCGCCCCCCCACCAGATACTCCCGGTTATCGCGGAAGAAAAGGAACACGATCTCATGCATTGTTGCCTGCCTCTGTTTGCTCGGCCACCCACGCCCAGGTTCGATTTCGTGTCAAGCTGGTATTTCACATCCGTGGACGGGACCGTGAAGCGCAAGACAAAGGCCAAATTGTCCAACGATAGCATCTACGAGGAGACTACGCGCGCCGTCTATCATGATTCGTCCATGTATACAGTCTGTGTGTGTGTTTGTGTTGTGTTGTGTGCATCAGCACGACCATGCTGCAAGGTTAAGCTTTCTTCGCCCTTCTTGTCGGCTTGGCTGCGTGACGTCACGGGCGGCCGGTGGCAATAATGATGTGATGGATATCGATTGCAGTATCAGTGCAGGCCTATCGCTTTCACCTTCGGATTCCGATTTTTGCCGCGGCATGCTGTCAGAGAGAAGCCGAGTGAGTGGTAGCTGTGCTCAAGAGTCCCAAACATGGCAAGGCGAGGCAGCTATGGCGAGGCCAATGTCTGCAGGTGCGTCAGCAGAGGGCGTTGCGCAGGTCCGAGTCCTGCCCACCTGTGTGACGCTTGCAGCTGGTGCCGCAGCTTTCGCGATCGGGGCGGTTCTCTTGTGGCTGCTCGTGGAGAAGTTGGGCAATGTCTGCGGTGCCTGCAGCGTCTTGGCATATCCGTGCGTTTCTCATTGCTCACGACTGGACTTTATTCTATCTGGGACAGTCTTTGCCCTGACGCATTCGTCTTGCACTATTCTTAGCTGATCCATGCAGGACAGACTGTTTAGAATTGGGCTGGTCAATGTTGCCAGGCTTTTATGGACTGCGATACATGATTCTGAGGCAGGGTATTGGGACGGAGACGACAGTCGGATTTTTCGGATGCTCGATGGAGGCGAACATTTAGCGTTAGCTGAAGTGCGTCACCTGCCGCTGCACAGTCCTAGTGATTCGGCAAGTGCTTCGTGTCTGGAAGGGGGAAGAAACTTGAATGGAGAGATAGGAAGGTCTTGATGCAGCCAGGTTCAGCACAGACTTACGGGCACGTACAGAGGGCAGGCCAGGCTGTGCAGTTCGCCCGAAGATCAGGTGCCCTCACGATGGCGGGGACTGCGCTGGCGGCGGTGTACCAGGCGGAGTGGGAAGCGGACGCAGACGCAGACGCGGCCCTGCTGGAGGAGGAGGAGGAGGAGGAGGAGGAGCGGCACCGCTGCCCCGGCACGCCCTGCCAGGAGGAGTTCGGGGGGGGGGGGGGTACCCTCCTTTCCCCACAAACATCGAGCCCCAGACATCTCCAGAGGTGCATTCTGACTAAAACTTCGAGGTGGATTCAGCCGTGGCGATGAAAGACTCCCCCCTGTCAAACATGTTCCCAAACCTCGGTTCTCGAGCCTTCTCCCTCCTCCTCCCACCTCCTTTTCTGTATGCCCACCTCCTATCCCTTCTCTTCAACCTCCTCCTCTTCCCCTTCAACCTCCACCTCCCTCCTCCCCCTCCTCCCCTCCACCTCCTCCCCTTCAACCTTCTCCACCTCCCTCGTTCCTTTCCCTCTTCCTCCCCTCCGTCTCCCCCCTTCCTGTCTGTTCTATTGAATCGTAATATGTTTCAGTGCGCTGTGCGTGCACTTGTTCAGCCTCGCCCTCTGTTCCGTAGGATTCGTGGTCGTTCATGGTCCCGGTCTGGGGACCTTAGGCTTCAGTTGTACACCACCGCCCTCCTTCAATTTCAGGTGGCGCTGAATTTTGTCTGCGGCCGCCCAGGCTGCAGGGGTTCGCGAGCAGCATCATTCTGATACGTTTAGTGGAAATTCGTATCTTCAGGCCAGTGTGTTCTTGTGATTGGTGGCTCTTTGATGGGGGCGCTGCACGGTTGCAGCCGCGACCGTTTAGAGCCGGCCATCCTGGGTGGACGCCGGCGTGTCGCGCATCTGCTGGCAGACCCGCGGCGCCGCCCGCACTAATCATAGTAATAGCAAAAAAAACCATTCCCCTACGCAGTGCACTATAAGCTCTGACCTGCGTGGGAAGGAATTGACTCTCATCATTGCAACTCGCGGTCTGCAGTACCCATGACCCGCTTGCCTTGGCTGTTGCGAATCGCCGTCGCCTATTCTGGTCCTGTTTGCTTTGTCCAGTGCGATATAGTTCTGGTCTGTTTTCCCTGCAACATTTGGCCAACATATATACACCAATCCGCCAGGGCAGATTTCGCGCCTCATTGGTGGATATTTTGAGGGCGGTTTTCCGGCCCGCGCTGTCAGGGCCCGCCCGTCTTTTCAGAGCCGCTTCACGCGGGGTGCCGTGCCCCGCTGCTTTTCCCGACGTATCTGTAGGATCCAGTGCGCAGTGCAGCACTTTTCACCTTCGTCCTACCTCGCCCTGCCGTAGACAGCCTGCCCGCGCTGGCACCTTGAAAAAAAACAACTCCTCCTCCCTCCTCCTTCTCCTTCGCCCCGCTCCCTCCTCATGCTTCTCCTCCTCCCAGTTTAGAATTCTGGACCTTCCGCGTAACCCCACCAGTCCATCCAGAAACGATGCCCAGGCGAATTGCCCTAATCAGGAATGCGAGGGGGCATGCAGTGGAATGATGTGTTGGGGAAACCGTCATACCCGCAAGAGGGGGAGGATGGAGGAGGAATCGGAGGAAAAGGATGAGGAGGAGCTTGAGGAAGAGGGGGAGGGGGAGGGGGGGAGGAGGACGGATGAGGGACAAGGAGGAACAGGCGCTTGGGAAAGAGGATGGGGAAGGAGGAGGATGAGGAGGAGGAGGAGGAAAAGGAGGAGGAGGATGATGAGGTGGAGGAGGAGGAGGAGGAGGAGGAGCAGGAGGAGGAGGAGGAGGAGCAGGAGGAGGAGGAGGAGGAGGAGGAGGAGGAGGAGGAGGAGGGCGCGCTGAAAGGCAAGAGGCCTCTTGGATGCCTCTCGGGGTCTCTTCGGATATCTCTTGAGAGCTTCTTGGAGTTTTCTTTGGGCGTCTTGGAGGCCTCTTGGCGGTCCTGGGGGCCCCTTGGGGTGTCTTGGGTGCCTCGGGTGAGCCTCTTGGGGTCCATTGCGAGTTTCTTGGGAGCCTCTTGGGGACCTTTTGGGCCTCTTGGGGCCTCCTGGGCGCCTCTTGGGGCCCTTTTGGTGCACTCTTGGGAGCTTTTCGGGCCATGTGGGGGCCATCTTGGAGGAGCTTGATGGAGCGCTAAATTAGGCCTCGCCCCCAGGAAGCCAACATTGGGGGCACCGCCTCAACACCATCACTGATTTGTGATTTCTCGCCGCTGAGGCCCAAACAAGCACTCTGATACTTCGTGGCCTCTCCCCTCCAGACCCAGGGGTAGGGGGTAGGGGGAGGGGTCAAGACGCCCCGAGGTAGCAAGCCGTCCAGCTCACTCCCACCCGCCCTCCCAACACATGAATAACACCCGAGCCTGAGCATGTTCACCGGTCTTGGATGGACAGTTACTGGGAACCAAAACCGACCCGACGCTGGGGCGAGGTGCGCCACGCGTGTCAGGCGCGCCACGCGTGCCAGGCACCTCTGGGGCCCGAGCGTGCCAGGCACGCCAGGTGCGCCAGATGCGCTTCGTGCTCCGCGTGCGCCAGGTGTGCCGCATACTCCTGCCGCGCCAGGTGCGCCACGTTCGGGGCACGTGGAGTGTCAGGGGCGCATGCGCACCTGACAGCACACATCGGGAAACATCTCGGCCCTCACCATCCTTGTCGAAAACCAATGCCCATCATTGTGTCTGATGGGCCTGCGCACAGCAGGCCATACGCCACCACCCTCGCCGTCCCTGTCAAAAACCACTTGACAGTGATCGCGGGGTGGCCGCGCACGCTCCACATTTGGCCGTGAGGTGCATTTTGTATGGTTTCTTTATTAGGGACGGTAGCCCTGCGCACAGCAGGCAATATCCTGACATCCCCGCCGTCCCTGTCTAAACAATACAAAATGCTCGCGGGCCTCACAAACATGACTCAAGACTGTGCCCAAACATGTATTTTGTGTTTTTTTTTGACTGGGATTGCGGGGGGGCGCATCTTGTTGGCCGCGGATGCTCCAAATGTGGAGGCAGAGTGCGTTGTGTATTGTTTTTTGACAGGGATGGTGGGGGGGAGCATGGGATCCTCATGGTTCCTGGTTGGCTGCCGGTCGCTTGGGGGAGGGGGGGTATATTCATAGGGAACAGTGATCAAGACATTCTGCCCGTCCGCAAGACATTTCGCTCACTCCCACCCGCCCCTCTGACACATACGCAGCACCCGCGCATTAGCATGTTCAGCGGTCGTCATTTGATGGGCAGCTACTGGGAACCCAAACAGACCCCATGTGAGCGACGCTGGGGCGAGGTGCGCTACGGGTGCCAGGCGCGCCACGCGCGCCATGCACCACTGGTGCCCAAGTGTGCCAGGCACGCCTGGTGCGCCAGATGCGCTTTGTGCTCCACGTACGCCATGTGCGCCGCCTGCTCCAGCTGCGCCAGGTGCGCCGCGTTCGGGTCACGCGCAGAGTGGGTCAGGTGCGCCCGCGCTTGTGACAGCACGCATCGGGAAACATGTGGGCTCCGACCATCCTTGTCGATCGAGGCGGTGTGGCCATCATGGTATCTGGTGGGTCTGCAAACAGCAGACAATTTGCCAGCACCCCTCTTGTCCCTGTCAATGGACAGTGATCGCGGGGTGACCGCGTGTGATCTATATGTCGCCGCGAAGTGCACTGTGTATTGTTTGTTGACAGGGATGGTGGCCCTGCGCGCAGCAGGCATCATGCTGGTCCTCCCGCCGCCCCTGTTCAAAAAAAAGTGCTCGCGGGGCCCACGAACATGACCCAATATCTTGCACCTACACGTTTTTTTGTTGTGGACACGGGTGGTGCGGTGTGGGTGGCCTGGGTACCCGCATGGTTTTGGGTTGTTTGGCAGTCGCCTGGGGGACGGGGCGTTTATTCACAGGGAACTGGCAGACGTCAAGACACCTCCTGCTCACAAGGCACAAGCCGTCTCGCTCACTTCCACCCGTCCTCCCAACACAATGAGTAACAACTGGTTATCTGTGTCAGCAACCAATACAAAGTGGTCGCGGGGCGCCCGCGCAAGCTCCAGATTTGCAAGCACAGTGTGTTTTGTATCATCAGTTGGCTGGGATTGGTTGGCTTGCGCGCATCAGGCAATCGGAGGGCCCCCCCGCCGTCCCTGTCAACAACCAACGCAAAGTGATCGTGGGGCACCCGCGCATGCTCCAGATTTGGAGGCAACATCTATTTTGTATAGTTTGTTTTGACTCGGATGGTTGGCTGGCGCGCAGCACGCAATATGAGGCCCCCCCCCGTGTTTGTTAAAAAACACTGCGAAATGGTCGCGGGGCGCTCGCGCATGCTACATATTTGGAGGCAGAATCTATTTTGTATTGTTTGTTGACAGGGATGGTGGGACATGGGTCCTGGTTGACTGGCAGGTCGCCGGGGGAGGGGGTGTTTCTTGATTAAGAAGAGTGATCAACTCCCGCCTGAAGGGGCAGAACGGGGTTGGACGAGGAAGCGCCCTAAACCACTCACGCCCTAAAGGGCTGGTGGGGTTCAGCTCAAACTCGGTCCGCAGACCCCCCTACGTGCCAGTGTCCATCCTGGCGAGTTTTCAATACCTGATCCATTTTTGTCGGTCCCTGGGTCCGAGAAAAGCTTCTGGAAGCCGGAGGCTGCGAGACATCCCCCCTTCCCCCCGTGCCTCAACTCCTTGAGCCTCGATCAGCCTCGATCAGCCTCCTCGCACTCGTCCCTACTCGCCTCCCTCCTCCCTTCTCGCTCGCTTCCTCCTGCCCCCCTTGCCCGACGAGGATTCGTCGGACGCCGATGCGGCCGCGGGCTGCGGCGAGCCCCCAGACGGCCCGAGGCCGCCGGGAGACGATCAGGTTCATCCGGAGCTGTGCCGGCAGGCGATGGAGGTCACGGCCTCCATCGAAAACGTCGCGAGGAGGAGAGGGACTAAGCAGGAGGAGGGGAGGAGGAAGGGAGGAGGTCGTAGGAGGAGAAGGGGGAGAGGATAAGAAGGATGGAGGAGGAGGAGGAGGAGGAGGAAGAGGAGGAGGAGGAGGAGGAGCAGTCTAAACCAAGACTCATCAACGATGTTGCGATTCACCCTCCCTCCAAGCTAAGTCTTCATGGACCCTATACACGGCCTCACTTCCACTGAGGGAAGTGCCCCGTTGGGAGACAACCGTGTGAAAATCCTGAAGCGTGCCAAAACATCATTCTCAGGACCTCAACGCCACGAGTCAAGCTGACTGCTGCATCTTGACGATCCTGAATCGTGCCAACACCGCGAGTCAACGCAACTGTTGCGCCCTGACAATCTTGAATCGTTCGGAAAACACCATGTCTTTCTGAAGGTTACCCATGATGATCCGCGGTACTCCTGCAAATTCTAAAAATGAATGTGCGCGGCGCTAAGGCGAGAGCCACATGTTGAACAAGAAACGCCCTGGATTCGTACATTTTCTAGGGCTTTGTAGACGAATGCGTGCGGCGCTAAGGCGAGAACGACATTTTGAACACGACCCGCCTTCAATCCGTGAAACTCTTGTTGCAACATTTACATGCGAATGTGCGCGGCGCTATGGCGAGAGCCACATTTTTAAAACCACCCGCCCTCAATCCGTGAAGTTGTGGCACATTTTCAAGACGAGTGTGCGCGGCTCCCAGGCGAGAGCCACCTTTTGAAAGCGACCCGCGCTCAATCCGTAAAGCTCTTGCATGTTTTTCCCAACCATCCTGTGGTGTTGGGTCCTCGTTTTGAGGAGACAGCGCCCCGCGTCGCACCTCCTCCTCTCCTCCTCCCCCCACCCCTCCTTCCACCTACTCCCATCATCATCCCACCATCCCATCATCCTCATCGTCATCACCATCATCTTTTCATCATCGTCATCGTCACCATTATCATCGCATGATATTTGCATTTCAACCACACGCATTTTGCCTCTGTGTATCGTACCCGCCGGTGAGTGCATCTCTCCTTCGGTGCGATGGCTCTCGACCCAGCGGCTCTTCGGATCATGCTGAATGAGACTCTTCGGCCGCTTAATGCCCAGATGGATTCGATGAGCGCAACGCTCGCTGGCAACTTGACGGCCATCAAAGAGATGGATGGGCGGCTCTCTGCAGGGGTTCAGCAGAACACAAGCCACCATCAACTCCATGAAGGATGACATTCAGGCCCACAGCGCACGCATGGACGAGCTGGAGCTCAAACTTCAGAGACAGCAGCAGGGAGCATATACCGAAATGGAGCAGGCCGACGGGATGGCAAGCACATACTCGGCGTCAGCGAGATTGCAAAGTCTCGAGGCCAGCTTCGCGGAGATGCAGCGCAAAATGGACCAGCCACCCTCTGACCCATGGGCCGCCGTACGCGGCTCGGCATCGGGTCGGTCGACTGCTCCACCATCCACGACTCCATCCACGGGGCGACCTACAGTGCCTGCTGACAAGACGAAGATTTGGATTCGTGGATTTCCAAAGAAGCAGCTGCAGAACGTATTTGAACGACACTTTGCGACCCTCAAAACCAATATGCCGCAGGAGTATCGTGATAAATGTGTATTACACTGTCAGAGCTTACGATTCGCGTATGCTATCAAGTTTGAATCACAGGAGCACGCGAAGTCTTTTTATGAGCGGGCTCGCGACCACCCTATCAAGTTCACCCAAGCCTCAACTGGCACGCAGCATGACCTGCGCATTGGCTTCGACAAACCATATGACATTAAGAAGAAGGGCTACATCCTCGGGCTCATCTGGAAGCAGATCTGCGCAGACATGCGCACGAACGGATGCTGGGCACCTACGACAGTGCTCGCCTGCAACAAGTACCAGGGCCTTTGCTACACCACCGTGCGCGACGAGCCGGTTGATTTGGTGATGCTCTCGTCATGGACTGAATCGGAGGTGGTGGTCGAGACTTGCGCTCAGGAGTTGCGCAGCTTCGGCCTCACAGAGCAGCAGGTCCAGGACTTGCCTGCCGCGGTCAACAGCGCCTACCACGAGTAGGAAGTAGGCGCACCATGTTCTGTTAAAGATGACGATGCTGCCGCATCTGTTTTTGCCTATACTGCTGATTCTCCCCCGCGCGCCTCCGCCTTCGCTCGCAGCCTTGGGAAGCGATTTAAGTACAGCTCTCCTCCTCCTCCCCCCCGGGCAGCGGTGCAGACATTCTCATTGAATGCCCGTGGCAGATTAGGCAGCACCTGGCGATCAGCACATGGATTTCATGAGCCTTCTTTGGAAGTGCGTATGGTGATCACATACGGCAGAGAAATCGGATTCGCAAGTTCCGCACTCTTATCAAAGCACATACCTTTATAATCATGCAAGAAACACATGGAACATATGCTGACCTCGACACCCTGAACAGGGATTATCCCATGCACACGCACTTCGGCACGTTTTGTGAGAACCCGAATGCGGGTGGATCTACGATCAGCGTGGTCAACTCTTTCCTTCCCAACTTCACGAATGTGGAGCATTGCGAGCATGTGCGCGGCCGTCTCCTCTTTCTCTCCAAGGACCTCAGGGTGGCCTCAAAGTGTACAATGTCCGCCCCGATCCCACTCTCAATGGTGCTGAGAAGTTTTCGGTTCTCGAGAAAATCGCAGATACCCTCCCTCACAGCAACTCGTGTTTGTCTTTCCTTGCAGGCGATTTTAACTTCCCAGAGTCAGGAGAGACCCGAATCAGGATTGATGGTGGGTATCAGCGTCCTGAACGTCCTGCTCTTCTTCGGCGCTTTCGTGAGCTCTTCCCGAATGCGCTCGGGCTGGCGCAAGACGAGCCCACGCATAGGACTGGGGACGTTGGGGAAGGTATTCATTCTCTGGGACGTATTGATCGCATATATACTTTTGCTGCCGCGGCTACAGTCTTGGAGGCCAAGCCTACTGCTGGAATCATTGGGCACGTCTTGAAAGCTGGTGGGCCGAGTGATCATGTTCCTGTCTTCGTTTGTTTTTCTCCAGGGCTTCGGTCCCAGGCCAGTGTTCCACCTTGGGCGACCGCTCGCCCTGAATTTGCACAGCTGGTGGATGAAGCTCGGGCCCAAACCGACCTCCACGGACCCCCATCCTCGCTCTAGAAGAGATCAAAGAGTGCATGCATACAGCGGCAGCGGAGATTAAGTCACGCATTTACCGATGCGGCGTACAAGCTGGTACTCACCGTCTCATGGTTTGTTTGCAATGCATGCGTGCCAGTGCGAACGGGCAACGCCACATCATACGCACGTGTGCGCGTGCATACGACCAAATCGCACAGTTCACAGATGAGCAGCACGAGCACATCATAGATCAGGCGAGGTTCCACGAGCACATCCGCATCGTGCAAGAGCGCATCCTGGTTCTCGAGCTCCGTGAGCACGCGCAGCCCCCAGAGTACCAGTACGACGACGAGCGCACAGTCAAGCTGCACAAACTTTTGAAGGCCTGGTCTCCCAAGCATAGACGAATTTCGCGCGTGGGCATTCTGGGCAATCAAGGGCGCGCGCCCGCCAGTTTAGAGGACAGCGCCGCCCGACTTGCTGAGCATTGGGGCCGTGTGCATACCGCCGCTGATGCGCCGAACGCGCCCCCGCACATTTCAGAGATGCTACTAGCTTACTGCCAGAAAGTTGCTCCTGGGATCAACTGGATTGTTCCGCTCTCTGACATGCTCGGCTTTCTTCATCGCAAGAAAGACGCTGCGGCTGGTCCCGATGGCATCCCGTACTCAGGCTGGGCAGAGTGTAGCATCGAGAGTAAGGGGATTTTATACCAAGCTTATCTGAGTTTTATGTCTGGACACTCTCTTCCTGGGGGCTTCAACCATGGGGCCGCGGTTTTCCTGGCCAAAAATCTCGAGGATGACTCCCTGAGAGACGTGCAGAGAAAAGCAAAGGAGACCCGTCCGTTATTTTTGGGCAATACTGATAGCAAAACCTTCGCGTTGCTGCTGAGTATTCCTGTGGGACAACAGGCTCAGTTTTCTATGCGCAGAAATCAGACTGGGTTTATCAAAGGCAGGAGTATGCTAGACAACATGATGCTGATAGAGTCGGACTTTTTGGAGCATGCAGTGTTTCAAGGTGCCGATCGAGCGGGCCTCTTTCTGCTCGACTTTGCCGCTGCTTTCCCGAGCTTAGCGCACGCGTGGATCCTGACCGTATTACAACATATGCTTATCCCAGAATAGGTCGTGGACGCTGTTCAACAACTGTATCGTGATATTAACGCAAGTATCAGACTAGGAGGAGGCACGTTCAGAGGCTACTATATCACACGTGGTATCAAACAGGGATGTCCATTATCTGGCGTACTATTTGCTTTAGCTGCTGATCCTATTTTCAGGTGCATGTATTCAGTTATGACACCCCTGGCTCGGCTTTTTGCATTCGCGGACGACATAGACATTGTTTCTTGCGACCTTGTCCGCGCGCTCCCCAGCGTGCTGAGATTGCTCTCGCAGGGCGCGATGGTGACGGGCCTGATCTTGAACCCAGGTAAGTGCTCGCTGGTATTTGCTGTGCCATACTCCAGGAGAGATGTGTGTGAGATGTTTCGTGGATCTGGCATTGAAGCTAGGCCGTGTCGGGTCGAGACCTTCGGCAAGTACCTGGGAGGTTACATCAGCCCGGAGGGGCCCGCGTTGTCCTGGGACGCTCCTGGGACCAAATGCATCAAGAGAGTCTGGCGCATCAATGGTCTTTCCCTAGGGCTATGTCAGAATATCATTGCCTACAACTCGCTGGCCTTCTCCGTGCTCAGCTTTGTGGGCCAGCTGCACCGGGCTACCGGCTGTGTTGAAAAGAGAGAGAGAGAGAGAGAGAGAGAGAGAGAGAGAGAGAAAGAAAAAAAAAAGCCCACCAGCTTCTTGCATCCGCTCCCAGGCATTCCATTCCAGCCGATATTCTGAGGTCCCCGTCGGTGCTCTGTTTTCCCCACGATCCCGGAGACCTGCAGAAGAGAAACCAGAGCCAGTATGTATCGGGTCGCCCTAAAATCTCAATGGTTCCCCGAAGTGCGAGGAAGGTTTGCTTGGCTGGAGGGCGAGGAGATTGATCGGCTAGCAGTTCTACGTCACACAGAGTGGTACGAATCCAGTATATGTTATTCATTGATTACCAACTACAATCAGCTGACTGCTTTTCCCATGATGATAGATGACCCCGACACTGACATGCTGCAGAAAAAAGTGAATACCCTACTGAGCCGTAGGCAGGCACCAATCTTTGCCAATTCTGCCCTCCTCCCTCGTATCAGACATTTTGACAACGCTGCCCAGCTTCCCAAGGCTGATTTAATTGTTATGCGTATCAAGCTTGCTAACACTAAGCTTGCCCCATTTGTGGGCGCTGCTGTATTGAAAGGTATTTGTAATTCCTGGGCCACCAGTGCTAGGTATCGTCAGGGGCGGAATGCTTGTCTGTTCGGGTGCAGAGCGTGTGGAGGCGATCAAATGCTCCATTAGTTTGACTGCCCGTGTGCCCTCGAGCCACTCTGTCTTGTCCTGCCCCATCTTCCCGCTGACTTCCTCTCCTGGACGGCCCAGGACCGCTTGCTGCTTCACAGTCATAATGCGTCGTCCTCTCCTGCCTTGTACTCTACCATGCTAGCTCACGATCTTTTATTCAGCACGTTCAGTTCTCTCAGGAGCATGAAACGGTTCGGCCCTGAGTGCATACTCGCGTTCTACAAAGCTCGTGCGAGGGCTATATCGAAGCGGAAACCTCACATTCGAGCTCTGTTTCAGCGGTGATGTGAGCTCCTGGGGATCTGGAGCTTGAAGGGGCTGCGCCATCGTCATCATCATCATCGTCATCATCGTCATCATCACCATCGTTGTTATCGTCACCATCATCGCCACCCCAGTGGCAAAGTTCGCATGGCGGCCCCGACCCCATTTCAGCACACTCCTCACACGCTTCGCGGTCCCACAGGGAACTCAACCGAAGGCTTGAGTGGCAAAGTTCGCATGGTGCCCCCACCACTATTTCGGCGCACCCTCACACGTTTCGTGGCCCCATGGGGAGCTCCACTGGAGGCCCCAGCATGGTTCGCATGCCGCCCCCCCTCCACTTTGGCACACCCGTCACAGGCTCCGCGGTCTCACAGGTAGCTCCACCGAAGGCTCGAGTGGCATGTTCGCATGCCGTTCCCCCTCTACTTTGGCACACCTCCTCACACGTTTCGTGGCCCATTGGGAGCTCCACTGGAGGCCCCAGTGGCATGGTTCGCATGCCGCCCCCTTCCACTTTGGCACATCCCTCATACGTTTCGTGGCCCCCTCGAGAGCTCCACCGAAGGTTCCAGTGGCATGGTTCGCATGCCCCCCCCCTCCACTTTGGTACACCACTCACACGTACCGTGGGCCCACAGGGAGCTCCACCGAAGGCCCCAGTGGCATGGTTCGCGTGCCGCCCACCCTTTGGCACGGAGGAGGGAGAGAAGGAGGACGGACGAGGGGGAGGAGGTGGAGGAGGAGGAGGAGGAGGAGGCAGAGGAGGAGGAGGAGGAGGGCCCTGTAGCCATTTTTGCTCAAGCTTGGCCACCCCCCAAAAATTTGGCTCTGTGTGCTCGCTCACGGAAGCCTCGGTGTGTGGGTGGTGCCGCTTGAGATGGCGCGGGATGGTGCCTACTGGGGGCATCCGGGAGGAGCGTCAGCCGTCGAGTGGCGAGCCCGTTGTTTTCCATGCTCGAGGAGCTGCGGACAATCTTGTTCAGCGGCCTGGACTGGAGCTCGCCAACTTGCAGCGGGTGCATTCCTCCATCCTCCACTCGCCGGAGCTGCTCGTCGGCGACGCGGAGCTGGTGGACAGGGTCCTGGCGTTGGCCCTGGCGCTGGAAGCACTCCTCCATGGGAACTGCGCCCCCCTCCGAGGATGTCCTGCGGCGCAGTGTGGCCCTCGGCGGGGACGCGCGTGGACGCCTGGTATCGACTGGTTCCGTCCCTGAGCTGAGGCGTCTCCACAAGTCCGCGAGGCTCGAGGCGCGGCGCGGGGACGCATCCGAGTTTCTGGTGGAGCGCCGACGCGGCCGTTTTCGACCCTGGCACTGCTGCTGTTTGCTGGGATGCCGTGCCTGACCCACACTCGCAGGAGTCGGCGGGGGCGACGCTGGACCCCAAGAACGACCGTGGGGGACAGCATGGCATGCCCGAGCATGGAGCTGCCATCTGTGGAGTTCCCCGTCATGAAGTCTTGTCCTCGGCCTCCTTCGAGACGAGAATGGGTGATGTTCGTTGTGATCAGGTTCGTTTCTTTCGCGGCCTTCGTGGTCGCGGCGGGGCCATCGAGGATGCGGAGGCGCTGTCGTTCTTCGACGAGGCCTGCTTCATCGAGGACCACCAGGTGCTCGCCCAGGCTGTCTTCGAGGAGGAGTAGGCTGCCCAGTTTCCAGCCGTGCGGCTGACTGCTCTGAGGGATAGTGAGAGCACGTGCAGGCGGATTCGCTGACTGCCGTTGCCGTCTTCATTCCTTCCTCCAACGGGTTCTGCTTTGGAGGCGGCTGCAGAAGGAGCTGGAAACCATACATCAGTAGTTTGGTCGCCGTGTGCTCTTCCACCTGAACCTGGGGAAGGTCGGCTTTTCTCAGCCGCAGATGCAGTTTGGCATGTATTCTTCTCTCGGCGTCAGCGGTGGTCACGGTTGCTTCTCAAGTGGGTTGTCGATCATTTTTCTGATCGATGCTGGGAGATCCAGTGTATTCTGACGAGCCCTGCACACCAGAGGGCGTGTTTTTTTTGGTGTTTGGTATCGACATTCTGGGATACATCGATCTGCGTGTTTGGGCGATGCTGCTCGATGTTGGGACCGTCGTTTTACGAGGTTGGGGCTGCTTAGTATCACAGAACGGATACTGTATGTGGCTTCTTTTTCGTTCGAATTTCGTTGGTGGCTCCAGGTTCTGTCGTGGTAACTTCACTTCACTTCATGTCGGCCTGGCAGTGGACACGATCAAGCCTCTGCTATATCGTTGCTGGAGTGCCTCGCTCAGCCACGGAGGTCGTCTCCGTGTTCGTGCAGGTCGCGCTTTTGTTCAGCACGCTCTCCGCTCTCCCTGACTCAGGGCTGGGCGTTGTTTTCACGAGAACACGAGGAGGATGAGGAGGATGAGGATGAGGATGAGGATGAGGAGGAGGTGGAGGAGGAGGAGGAGGAGGAGCCCGTGGAGGGAGAGGAGGGAAGGGGAGAGGAGGGGGAGGGGCGCTGCCTTTCAGGCGCTGGAGCTGTCGGCCGCGCGCGGTCACGCCGCGCCCACGGAGGAGAGGCTGAGGCCCGCGGCGGGCCAGTCGGGGGCGGCGCTGCCGTCGTTGTCGTCGCGGGCCCGTTCCGTGCCCCCGCCACCGGCCCTCCTCCTCCCGCTCTGCTCTTCCCTCCCTTTTCCTCGTTCCCTTCCCTTTCTCCCTCTTTTTTCCTCGCTCCCTCCCTTTCCTTCCCTCTGCTCTTCCCTCCCTTCTCCGCGCTCCCTCCATCTCCTTCCTCCCTCCTTTTCCTAGCCCCTCCCTCCCTCCCTCCCCGCTCCATGCCCTTCTCTCCCTCTCTGCTCCTCTCTCCCTCCCTCCTCCCTCCCTCCCTCCCTCCTTGGCCCGCCCTCCCGGCTCCTCCCCTCTCCTCCTTCCTCCCTTACCCCTCCCGCCTCTCCTCCCTCTCTCCCTGCTCCTCCCTCTCCTTCCTCTCCTCCCTCTCGCGCCTCCGCGCCTCCTCTCTCCTCCTCCTCCCGCACCCCTCCTGCTCCAGCGGCGCGTGCGCACTCCCTGTCCCTCCCCCCCAGGAGGAGGCGGGCGGAAGTTCAAGGATAGACGTTCGAGGTTTGACGCTGTTGGAAGAGCACGTCTCCTTTCAGTTTTCCTGTCGCCACGGCTGTATCCGCTCCAGGGCTCTACCAAAACGAAAACGTGGAGAGATGCAGGGGCCGAAATTCAAAGAAAGATGAAGGGATGACTGCGACGATGATGGTGATGATGATGATGATGATGATGCTGATGATGCTGGTGATGCTGATGATGCTTATGGTTTAGATGATGGTGATAGTGATGGTGATGGTGATGATGACGATGACTAGACGGAGGAGAAGGATGAGGAGGGCCTGGAGGAGCATAAGGTGTGACATGCGTAGCATACGTTGACGAACATGGGGTCAAACTCTTGCCGCAGCATCCAGAACCCTGTGAAGACTCCCAGCGACAAGTGTGGCCCTCCCTGCAGTGCCACTCGTCATGAGATATGTGTAGGAGTGGGGTATGTTACGTTTGTTCGTTCACACGTCAACCATGGCTTTCGATCATGGTTTCGTTTGCTCGTATTCAACACGTCTAGGATCTCAAAAGCCCATCATCATCACTTGCTTTTGGAGTGGGAGTTATGTCATTGAGTTGGATTGGCCATGATGGCAGCTGTGTCTGCACGCAGGTCACTCCGCGATCGCCTTGCGAGGCTTGCAGCAGAAGGGGAGGAGTATCACCCGGCGGTCCTGCTCTTTTTGTTTTTGATACGTGCCCTTGCATGTCTATGCAGACGCAGAATCCAGTTGTAGTTTATTCATGTTACTTTGCGCGCGCTCGAGCGCGCGCATGTGGCCCGCATGATGTCATTTCATAGGTATACACAGCATAGCTCAAGGCATGTCCACCGCACCGAATGGTACAATTTCTTAGGTTTGGGTGTACTTCGAGCCCATACTGCATGCGGGAACTCATAGAACTTTGTCGGAGCCAGAATCGGCGTCGCACCGAATTTTCCACAGGAATGATGGACGCTGGGTCCATACAGCAAATTGAAGTGCATCGGATTTGGCATTGTGGGGTTCACTGAAAAAAGGACGATATCATAAGCGGTGAGGGCAGGAGCGAGGCGTGATAGAGTACATTCTAGTCGATAAGAACAGGGTAGTGCGTACAGTAGGGTCGAATAGATATGGTAGAAAGCAGTCGGGTAGAACCGAGTAAATTGGGGTATATCCCAGACGCACACGGTAGTGCATAGTAAAGTGGAGAGGTTTACACATGCAGAAGGAGTAGAGTACGGTTGATCAAGGTGAACTAGAGTACTGTATGGGAGTCTAGAGTCAAGTGGAGTCGAATAGAACCGAGTAAAGCCGAATAGGCGACACTGCAGTCCAACAGACTGGTAGCATCGCTCATGCAAGCTTTGGAGCATCTTGTGAGCGAGTGTTGTATTGCCGTGCCGAGAATACACGTTCGAGAGTCTTCGGTTCGAGCTTAGAGGAGATTCTGCGCGAGTTGTCAAGGGCAGGGTGGAGTCGAGCAGCACAGCCTGGAGTAGAGTAGAGTCGAGACGAGTATTGCATAGCAGAAATGCTCATAGTAGATCAGAAAGGAGTAACGTAACAAACTGTAGAGTAGGCGAATTTTAGAGCATAGTGAACGGACATTTTGCAGAGTCGAGCCGGGCAGCGTAGCGACAGGTAGAGTATAGCTGGGTATGGCAGATCACAGCCGTGTACAATAGAGCAGGATATGCTAGAGTGCATTCGAACCGCGAAGAATACTTTAGCGTAGGGTGGGGTGAACGTGGAGTCCTTAGAGAGTAGAGCTAGGGTAGAATAGAGTCGAGTAAGTGCGAGTAAAGTGAGACGATGAGCAGTATATCAGAGTGGGGAGTACTAGGGATACAGTCTGGTCATTTTCGGAGCGCAATCATACTCACCCACCCACGGTGAGGCCGTGAAAGAATTGAGCGGTGGGAGCCTGAAGAGGACTTTTCACCCAGCAGTCAACCGTCGTCGTGATGACGTGAGCGTTCGCGTGGCCAGCTTGGCATTATGTCGCACACGTATATATGTCTGTGCATAAGCATGTATTATAAGTATTGCGGAGCGCACTTGCTGAACTATGCACCGCATGTTTTTTTGCAAACGAAAGTTGCGGTGCCGGATCCGGTGGCGCACATATGGTATGAGTTCAGACGTCGAATGGGGTGCAGAAGAGATATGAAACATAATGGGAAATGTCCGAGTCGGTTCTTGCTGCGGCCCGCATGTATTATTCAAGAGGGATGGTGAGAGCTCAGAAGTCGGATGGATGTCGGAACGCATGGGCCTGAACGCAAGATATAGAGAAGGATACTCCATAATACAGAGGAAGGCGCAATGAACAATGCTGGGGTCCGATGAGGTTAGGCCCCGAGTAATGGAGAGAATAGTTGTCTCAAAGGGTCAGTGCTTGTTGTCTACTTGCGGGACGCGATCCGCCACCCCAACCAGCGGACCTCACACTCTTTCGCAAACCTTCGCATGTCAAGTTTCTCTTTCGTACCAAATGCCATGACTGAAGTGAGCGCGCGTTTGGATGCGTCAAATGTTACAACCAGTCCATGCGCAAGGCCGAGCAAGCGGATGAACACCAACTTCTAAAACCGCCTGACAATTTACAAACTCATCCAAGAGTTGGATTACGGCCGCACTCAAATCCGCAGACTGGACGAGCCAATCCCAGGTATCGGCAGATCAGATGCAGCAGCTGGAGCAATGATATTGTAACGAACCACAACGTCGAGTGTTAAGATAAGATGCGGATTTTGGGAAGTGCGTATGCGCATTGTGTGTATTCGAAGGGCAACGGTTGTCAATAGATTTGCCAATGCGTGTTAAATGAGGATTTGCACAACGACTTGTGGCTTCATTTCTTTTTGCGAGTCGCGTGCTCATGTGGCCCGCACTGTGTTATTTCACAGGGCCTCTCCCTGAGGGCAAATGGTGTCCGCCGCGTAGTGTGTGTGTGTGTGTGTGTGTGTGTGTGTGTGTGTGTGTGCGTTTTTTTGGCAAGCGTCTGGGCTGGACCCGATTGTGCGCTGAATGGTTCGATTTCAATTGAAGGATTGGACGCTGCTTTTCTGGGCAAATTTCCAGGGCCAGATCTGGTCTGTTAGGATTTGGTTTGGGCAAGGGGGAAAAGTGGTTCCTATGGTGGATTCATGCTTGCGGACGTGGTAAAGTAGAGTGGAGTAGTTTGGGTGTGCGTAGGCAAAGTTGAGTAGAGTGGCCTTTATGAATCATCATCATCATGATCATGCGCACACTGAGAACCAACGAATTCGCATGCGTTCAATAATGTCGCTCCTGCATTTGTGCTCCGAAAGTGCTCACATGGAGCTGCCGGCGAGGGCTGATACTGATCAAGTGCTTCTCTCAAGTCCAATGCCCAGGGTGATCTGGTAGTGGAGGTGTCGTCCCCCATAGGTCCTCCGTCCACGCTGTCACTGCATGGAGTTTGCAAAATGTGTTGAAGTATCTGGGCTAAGGTGCTACGCTGCTTCGCTGTTGTAGGGCGGCTTATCGATATTTACTTTCATCGAGCGATCGGAATATTCAGAAGAGACATGTGGCTAAAGCAGTAAGTTGGCGTGTTCCGCTGATGGCCACGGAGCAGAGAGAATACGCTAGCAACCGAGGGGAATGGGTATAAGAATTGTTCTGATGAAAATCCTGGAAGCCTAGCGAGGCGCGCAATAGTTGTATCATCTAGTCCACACGTCCGCTCCGTAAGATATGGGTCGACGGTCGCGCGGCGATGCTCCGACGTAAGTTCGGCGTGACTCCGACGTAAGTCCGACTTAATCCAGCGGGAACTCGACGTGAAGCTGACGCGGATCCGACGTCAATTGGGTCTCAAGTTGCCGCGCGAGGCCTCCAGGAATCTCTTCATAGGAATCGACGGGCACTTGGCGGTTGTTTTTGAATCAATACACACCGTCAGTATAATCAAGTATAATATTAGCGCTGGCTGTGCCAGCTCGGCGGAGAAGATGTTGGTGCCGACGGGGCGCAGCGCGAGCAAGAACGGAGGACCAGTCCTTTTCCTTAGTGGTGCATTCTGCTTCGAGCAACTGGGCCAGATAGGACGGAGGACGTATGATAGCTTCTGGGACTTCGAAAAGTCCACGCTGGCCAGAGTCTGTGTGTGTGTGTGTGTGTGTGTGTGTGTGTGTGTGTGTGTGTGGGGTGTCTTTTCGCTTCTGTTCCCTCACGGCTGCCCCCCCCCCTGTGAGTGTCGCTATCGATTCTCCCCGCGGTCGCCGCGTGAGCCAGGCCGGTGCGCGCGTTTCTCCGACCCTTTCTGCGCCGCGCCGCCGCGCGCGTGGCCGCGACGCCAAGAAAAGTGTGTGTGTGTGTGTGTGTGTGTGTGTGTGTGTGCGTGCGTGTTCTATCCATCTCGTTTTCTGGCCGCTGCATGTTTCGTGTGGACTTCCAGTTCCCCTGGCACACCCATCGCCTGCGCTTTTCAGTGTGCGACGCTCCGCACATTGCGCTTCCGACACTGCTCGATCGCAAGTAGCACTTCCATCTGCTGCTCGTGCCTGGGGACCCTCTGCGCCGCTGGCTCAAAAAGTGTGCGTGTGCGTATGTGTGACTGGTTCTACGCCGCGCCACCTCGCGCGTGGCCGCGACACCATACAGTGTGCGTGTGTGCCCTCTACAGTCGGCCCCTCTCGCCGCCCAGCGCCGCCTTTTCCCGCCCTCGCCATTCCGCGCCCCTCAGTGGGCCACGTTGATGGGGTCGGCTTGTCACATCTTGTGTGGTGTCCCCACTGCTCTGCATGACTTCGGCATTTTCCACGTGCGCTGGTCCCCTGTTTGTCGGGCACACGTCAGCCACGTCCTGACTACCCACCGACCCACGCTCCGCGGTAATCAATTCAGACCTGCCCGCTCTAGCGCTCGCTGCGTTGGATCCACTGGCCCGTAAACAAACATGTGTGTGCGTGTGGGTGTGTGTATTTGCGGGCCACGGCTTGTGGTATTGGTGGTTGATTGAAACGCTCCGTGATGGCAGGAGTTCTGGCAATTGTGGCGGGTCATCGCGCCACGTGCAGAAGTAACCTTTCAACTTCCCGTCTAATTTGTTCAGGTTTTCCCACCCCACACCTCGCGTCTACGGGACACATTTGGGCAAATTTTCGACTTTGCATCGTGTGTTCTTCGTATTCTGCTGTTTATGTTGTGACCGCGGTAAGCTGTGCATACCAGGCATGCTTCCGCGGAGCCATTCAGTCAAGTCTACATGTTGAGGTGGCTACTGCAGATACCATTGTATTTCATATTCCATAACAGCATGTCGCCATCCATGCCATCATCGCAGCTCTTCCCGTCCGTTTGGATGACCTGTCGATGTCACGCCGATTTCTTGCATCAGTTGTTTCCTGCATGTGCTATGACCTGCATCCTTTCATCATTCATGATTTCTCCAGAAGTCAGCCGCATGTTCGGTATCTGCTGTCGGGGTGAGCCGATGCCGTTTGCACGTCACCTGAATCCACCGCCTTGGGAAACGATGTCCCAGGACCCCAGATCGGAATGGGTACGAATAGTTTCGTGCCATCGGGGGGCCTAGAGATACCCACATCCACCGATTCCTCGGGCCCTGGGACTTCGGGTCTCTAGGCGGTGGACGAAAATAGATGCTTAGCCCCGAGAGAGGTAAAACAACTGGGGGTTTTGGGCTCAGGAACCACCCCTTCCTCCTCTCCCTCTTCTTCTTCCTCCTCTTTGGCCCTCCTCCTCCTCCTCCTGCTCCTCCTCCTCCTCCTACCACCCCGCTTGCTCCTCGTCCTCTGCGCCCTCCTCCTCGTTGTGCCTCTGCGGGGCTCGCCGCGGGCGAAAGCCGGTCGAAGTCGAGGGATGCTCCGCCCTTCTCCTCTTCTTCCTTCAGTAGCCATTTTGGCTCAAGCCATTTTGGCTCAATATGTTTCGTTCCACAGCAGAACACGTGGATACCGGTAGTCTGGGGCATTTTTTGTTTCTGCTCAAATCTAGCAGATATTTCCATCGCACCTGGCATTCGGGGCGGTGGGTAAACGGAGGCATTTCCCGCTCTTGCCGTTTCGAGCGCTACCCAGTCTGCCGTGCCGCCGAGGCCTCAGGATGGTTCTTTTGCTCGTCGCACCCGCAGTGATGACGGGCGGGCTACTCAAGGCGCGTATCATGAATGGACACCACGGACTTTCCCTTCACAAGATCGACGTGCTGATCCCCTCCAAGGCCGTGACCCGTGGCGTGGCAGGGGACGTGGAGCATACGGTACCTCATCCTGGGCTGCAGCGGTCAGGTCATACGAGGATTCCATGCAGGACTCCATCCAGCACGCACACCATCCAGCACACCCTGCCGCCCCTCAAGGTTCCGCCGGCGCACGAGGTGCAGTCTACCTGCTTGATGCTGATGCCGCTGCAGGCGCTGAGGCGGGGACTGAGGGCCTGCCACTGGAGCAGCGCCTCTCTGCGACTATCGGCAACCAGTTCAGCAACATCCAGCATGAGCTCCAGTCTTGCATCTCCGCTTCCATGGGCGCCGCCCTGGCCAACGTCCAACAGGAACTCGCCGCCTCTGTCTGGACTCGGCTCGCCCGCACTATCGCGAGGGTCTCGGCCACCGAGGCCAAACCCCGCCACGTGCAGAGCCGCACGGACGCGCTGGAGTCCGAGCAGCGGTCCCTCCGCGCGCAGGTGCAGCAGATGCAGCATGCACTCGCGCTCGGGGAGTGCGCGGCTATGGCCACCGAGACAGCTGACGTCGCCCGCCTGGCGCAGTGGGACCGCCCTAACAATCCGCAATTCCTCAGTAGCAACACGGAGACCGAAGTCACGAAGGCCGCTCTCATGGAAGGACTTACTGAGTGGCTTGAAGCATCCCGTAAACCGAACGCATCGAGCTTGTCGGGCCCGACGCTCAGGCCCTCATGCGTGCATTAGGCTCTCGCTCGTGCACAGAAGGATCCGACGGGGAGGTGGCGCCAACTCTTTGCCCAGGGAGTGGGCGGTCACGAAATGCAGCATTTACGTTGGGCCCGTTCGAAGCCCACGCCTGGTACGTCGCGAAGTACAAACCAAGAAGCTCCAGCAGATCTGACAGCGTCACCGCCCCAGCGGAGAGTGGTGGTCTGAGCGGGCGCTCGGCTTCGTTCTCTGCTCCGACATGCCCGTGGTGGAGGGCATCGCAGGCGCTGCCCCCAACGACCAGACGAATCTCGCAAGGAATCCCCAAGCAGCTGCGCAGTTCAACTTCGACCGACAGGCTGTCTTCGAGGCTGTCCACCGGATGTTCCGCGACACCGCGGTAGATGCATCGACGTGGTCCTGTTCCTGAGCCCAGATGGCGTCCGTGGGACCTTGAGCCTGGGGAGCAGCAGCATTTCCAAGTCATGACATGGAATGCCGCAGCCTTGATCTGCCGTGGTAGAAGTAAGCGTAGACGGCAGCTATCCAGAGTGGCAACCTACAACAGGAAACGAGCTGTAATCTGCCTGCAAGAGTTGCACGGCGCATATGCGTCTTTGGCCAACTTAGTGCGCCGGTGCACGGGTGATTACAGGGTCTTCTCTGCTATCGGCGCGCGTCCTGGCATTGGCGGGGCTGCGGTTTCGGTGCCGTGGCACACTGAGCATGCCCTATCTGACAAGGATATGAAATCCCTCCCGATCTTCGAACGCTGCGTTCTGGCAGAAGAGCGTGCGCATGCTCATCATATCCGCAACCCGCAGAGTGGCTGCGAGATGCGGTCTCTTTGCTGTCGTCCCCACGGCCGAGGAACCCAGGGGCGCAGCAGACTGCGCGCGCTTTCCAGGGGCCCTTCCGCAGCTCTCGCTCAAAAGTTCGGGTAGCAAGATCCTCGGGAGCACGCGCAATGGATCTTGCTACCCGAACTCCGCGCGGTCCAACGGGCCCACGAGGTCCAACAGGGCCTTGTCAAAGAAAGGAGCCTCGGCCACAACATTTCACGGCTGGGCGCTGCCGCCCGCCAGACATGGCTCCGACTAGTGCTGGAAAGAGGCCGCCGCCCGTGTAGCCTTCGGTGGGGAATTGCTACCTTCTCAAAAGGTTTGCTTGCGCACCTGGCGTTTGGCTCGGAAGTTGGGCCCGTGTTCGAGATCGCCGCCGGCGTGCCTCAGGGGTGTCCTCTCTCTGGTTCTCTCTGGACCCCAGGCTTCGACACCCCCTCCGCCGCCTCGTCTCCCCCCTTCCCAGCAGAGAGGAGGCCGCCTCGGGAGCCTGAGCGGGCGACACAGGTGTTGTGCTCACGTACCTCGTGAGCACAGCATCATCGCGCGACGCTTCTGCTTGCGCGACATCCAGCGGGTCTCGCGCTGCAGGTCGCCAAATGTGTTGCCGTCCCGTTCCGTTTGCCGTTGAAAGCGCGCCAGATGCCGCTGCCAGCCATGCCAGAGAAGTTGCAGAGTGCGCGCCGAGTTGGACAGGACTCGCAGTGGCAGGCTCGGCCAAATATCTCGGAGTCCTAGCAAGGTCCATCGCTGCGCTTGCGCAGCAGTGGAGAGAAGCGGGACGCAGGTGGTGGTGTCGCACGCGTGCCACCGTTCAAACGAGAGCCCCATGCGAGGTTGGCATGTGGCTACATGAGTGCACGTCTGTCTTGGTCGTAGGATACTCGTGCCAGTTTTTTGTCCGCTGTGTGAGGAGATCAAGTGAAAACAAGGCTACGCGCTGCGCAAGCTTCTCCGTCTCCCTCCTAGCACCTTCGCTCTGCGTGACTTCTTTAGCTTGAGGAATTGGCGTGAAGCAGCGACGCCCACCGCAGTCTATATATATATATCTATATATATGTATATCTATATATGTATATATTTATGCATTGGTTCACGCCTGGAGGGCCATTGATATCACTTTCGGAGGATGGGATTGGTGGTGCGACTGGTGGTGGGACGGGGTGGATGTTTACGGATATCACACGAGAGTGCGCCATCAGCTGCTGTCGGTGGAAGGCTGGAGAAACTCGCAAGGCATCCTTCAATTCTTCCGCCTCCTCTCCGCTGTTTGTAATCTTGTCTTTTCTTAGTCGACATCCTCTCTGCGATAGACGTAGCCGGAGTGGCTGGCCTTATGAGGGAAGATGGTCGCCCTAGCGTTTGTCGTCGTCGTCGTCGTCGGAAGAAACGCGCTCAGGCCATTTCAAGTGCATCGCTCATCGAGCAGGCTTACCCAGATTGTTTTCTCGTGCGCATCAGGACTCGGGTAAGGAGATGGCTGCCTGACTACCCCCTCCCCGACCTTGACTCCTTTCGTGCCCGATGGCTTGCCCTACGGGAGGTGCTGGCCAAATCACGGCCAGCTCTGGTCTGGGCCCATCTCAAGACTTTAGCAGGCGGCTGGATCACCAGCCATCGTGTCAATATTCTCCCCCCCCTCCCCTGCAGCTTTGGA